GGACGCCCGGCGTTCGGCGGGCCAACCTCGGGGCTGCCGCGCTACCACTCCAGGCGCGGATCCGGGGAGACGGTGCCGAAGAGGCAGGTCGGGGGCTTAGCCAGCCTCCCTGGGCTCCTCTGGGGCCACGAGAGGGCGCTCCGCCACCTCGGACACATCCCCCCCAACCCGCGTGCACAGCCACCCACCTACACACACACCGCCCCCCGCCCCTCGGGAATCACCCGCCCCAGGTATGTGGGAGCGAATATGGATGCGTAAAGGAATGGATACACGGGCATCTTCCAACTAACAATTTCCCCGCCTTCCAAGAGAACGTCCCAGGCTCAGAGCCGCACACATCCACCTATACTCATCAGGAACAGAGAAAGAAGGGCTTGCAGCCCTGTGCAGTAAAACCAAGTGATTTCAAATAAAGAAACAGCTCTGGAGAGTTTCATCAGAAATCCTGTGGCTACTAGTGTTCCTCTCAGCTCCATTATTCACTCCCCAATACCCCTCTTTTGTCTAGCCTGCTGGGGGCAAGAACTTTAGGGGTTAGCAAGTATAGGGCACGTGTATACACCCAGGGTCAGTGCTGCAATTATCTTTTTTCCCGTTTTATCATGAAAAAGTTCAAAGATGCCAAAAAGTTGAAAGAATCTTATAGTGAACACTCATATCTGCCCACCATCTAAATACTACAATTAATATTTTACTATACTTGTTTTATTTCATATCTCTCTTCCCATCCATCAACTCATTTTGTTTGGATGCTTTTAAAAGTAAATTGTAGATCGGAACACTTCTGTCCCCAACTTCTGTACTTCTGCCTGCCTATCATTACCTAGAGTTCAATATTTATTTACCTTTTTTTTCCCTTTGGAGGTATAATGTACATACAATGAAATACACAAATCTTAAGTGTATCGTTAGATGAGTTCTGACAAATGTGTACATCTTTGCAAACCAAACACCTACCTATCCAACCTATTAACCAAACATCACCAACCAGTCAGAGCTCCCAGTAAATCCACACACTTCCCTCCAGGGAAAACTATCCTGATTTTTTTTCTACTGTGGACTATGTTTGCCTTTCTAGAACTTGGTTTCACCTGATTTAGATTGCCATATAGGTGGAATCACTGTTATGTATTCTTTTGTGTAAAGCATTATATTCTTGAGATTTATCCATGTTATATGTCTGTTTGTTCCTTTTTATTGCTTGTTTTTCACTGTTTGCATATACTATAGACTATTTATTCATTCTCTTCCTATTGATAGGAACCAGAGCTGTTAGAAAATTTTAGTTAACATAGATAAAACTGTTAGGAACATTTTTGTCAACTGTTTGTGGATATGTTTTCATATCTCTTGGGTAAATACCCTGGGAATGGAAGTGCTGGGTCATACGGTATTTATTTTATAAGAAACTGCCTGACATTTTTGTGAAGTAGTTGTACTAACCAACAATGTACAGTAGTTCTGGACATGCCATTTCCTTGTGAACATTTGGCAGTATCAATCATTCTAATTTAAATATAGTGCTGGATGTACAAGCATGAGATATCTCATTGTGGTTTTAATTTGCATTTCCCTCATGTCTAATATGCTTGATGGCCATTTGTATATCTTCCTTTGTAAACCTTCTGTTGAAATATTTTGCCCATTAAAAAAATTGGTTTCTCATTAAAAAAATTGGTTTCTCAGCTATTGAGTTTAAGGGATTTTTTACATATCCGTCATGGCAGTCCTTTCTCAGATACATACTTGAATCTTGCAAATATTTTCTACTTGGGCTTACGTATTTATTTTCTTAAATCTGAGGGGTCTTCAAAAAGTTCATAGAAAGATTTGTATTATCTTCTAATTCTATTTTTCAACAAACTTTGAAGCACTCTAGTACAATCTGAGGGGTCTTCAAAAAGTTCATAGAAAGATTTGTATTATCTTCTAATTCTATTTTTCCACAAACTTTGAAGCACTCTAGTACTTTTTTTTTTTTTTGTATGTTTTCTGACAGATTTTTTAATTTTGGCAAAGCCCAATGTATCAATCTTTTATATTTGGTGCCCTTTGTTTATTAAAAAATCATTACCTCCTTCAAGATCACATAGGTTTTCTGTCTCCTGCCCCTGAAATTTTATAGTTTCTGCTTTCACATTTGGGC